AAGATCTTTTTCGATACAATGAAGTGCACCTTGTACATTGTGGTTATTGTTATATTGAGATTGTTCTGTTGTCAAAATATGTTTTTACATTGTTGAGGTGTTCACAATGGCAGAGGCTCATCTGGTGGAATGATAATAAACTCATCCTCAAGAAGTTTTGTTGATGTGTCAACCATATCATGGAGATTAGATCTCCAGTGTCCAGTGCTGGTCATATGAGGTGACCCTGGGTGGATTCTAGGTTAGAATCATCTTCCTGAGGCAAGGGAGTTAACTGACTGTTAAAGTCCAGTTTACACCCTTGCCGAACTATGCTGGTTTCATGGAGTTATGTTTTGGGTAGACTAAGGAGTCTATGCATTGTCATCAGAGTCGCGTAACGAAATCAACATCTGGTTCATGCAAAATGCAGATTTTCAGTCGACTGCAGGATTTGCAAAGGATGTGTACCGGACATCGACAGATATTTTCCAAATCTTTTCATGTTTTTAGTCAAGGTGCACATGTGATTATTGCACTTCGCGAGGTAAGACCCATTATATTACAATATAGATCTGGATCATCGATCAGATGGTCTTAACAGGGCGCAACCATTTTGTTTGAAGCAAACGCAAGTGATATGAGAAGTTGAATCTAATGGGAGAGACATAGAAGGTACATTACTCGTAATAGCCACTGGTGGCGGTATTATCGAGCCCAGAAACTCGAGCCTAGTTCGGCAAGGGTGGAAACTGGACTTTTAGAGTCAGTTAACTCCCATGCCTTAGGGTTAAAATCGGTCCTCAGCAACCTTTGCTGGTCGTAAGAGGCAACTTAATGGGTCCGGTGATCAGACTTAGGGACTTGCTTGATAGTGTGTCCTTGTACTCCGAGGATGTGGATCTTTCCTCACAATCGATCACTTCAACAACAAACAAACATAAGAGCAGCTTGATGTGGATTGGTTGGTCACAATGTATGTGACCTGGCTGATTGTGTGTCATTATGCTCCAACAGCATGGACCATTGCTCATGACACATGATCAGCTCTAGTGGTTCAGGATGGAAGGAGAAGGTAATCTACATACGAATACCTGAAACTAGCTGAAGCTGGGAGTGTCTGCCCTCATGGGGATTATGGAATAGATCCCCAGCAACCTATGCTGGGTGTAAGAGGGGACTGAATGGATCACTATGGAAATACTACCGCTTGTATATGTAATTTGTGTATTGATTCCCCTGATTCCCCAAGGACGATGTTTCAGTTTCGCTCTTTTGTGGACCCGTGAAGATTCCGGGGTAGAATAGGTCTTCAGCAACCCATGCTTGCCGTAAAAGGCCACTATGCTTGTCGTAAAAGGCGACTAACGGGATCAGGTGGTCAGACTCGCTGACTTGGTTGATGCATGTCATCGAACCCAATTGCGTGGATTGATGCTCATGATATCAATCACTGGATTGTCTGGTCCAGACTCGATTATTTACAGTTGCTTATTAAATCTCAGACCATGTCCTTGGACAAGTGGAAGTGTAAGAGTGAATATTATCCTACCCTAGTTTTTATCCTGGGGATGAAATTCTCTAGTGTCAAGATGATTCTCCCTAATGAATTTGAACCCATACCAGTGTGGCACTAAGGTGGGATACTATACTTTAGAGTAAAACTTCCCCCGGGATGATATTTAGGTAGGACATAATAATCCTTGCTTATAGATGCAGCGTCTGCCTGGAGGGAGGAAGATAACTTAGACTGGTGGTTCAATCACCGACAATGTCATAACAAATGACGTGTTACTCTGCCTGGCGCTCGGTTGGTTGGTTGGTTGGTTGGTTGGTTTGTTGTTTATCGCCGCACTCAGCAATATTCCAGCTATATGACGGCGGTCTGTAAATAATCGAGTCTGGACCAGACAATCCAGTGATTAATATCATGAGCATCGATCCACGCAATTGGGATCGATGACATGCATCAACCAAGTCAGCGAGCCTGCCCACCCGATCCCGTTAGTCGCCTTTTACGACAAGCATAGTCACCTTTTACGGCAAGCATGGGTTGCTGAAGAACTATTCTACCCCGGATCTTCACGGGTCCCTGGCGCTCGGCATAAAGGGGCTAAAACAAGGACTGGTCATCATGGAGTCAGTATATTGTGTCTGAGTGTGGTATCCATGTTAAACTGCGGCATGGTATCTCAGTGGATTAGCACTATAAAACTGTAAGTCCAGACTAGTACAAACAGACACACACACACATCCATGCATGCACGTCGCTTTGTAGGTTTTGAAATCTTGAACATGACATTAAACCGCATTTAACTTTACCTTTGACTTCACATTATGTCCTTAAGGAAAACTTCCCTAGCTGCTTCATACCAAAAGACCTTAAAAGATGGTACTTGTTGTTACCCTGTCTGGCGCTTGACATTAAGGGGCTATAACAAGGACTGGTCGGCTCGGAGTCTGTGTCTGTGTCTGAGTGTGGTATCCATGTTAAACTGAGGCATTGTATCTCAGTGAGCTAGCACTATAAATCAGCATCAGTCCGGGCATGCACACACACACGCGTCTCTATATAAGTGCAATAATCTTGGATGCGACGTTAAACCCCATTTCACCTCACCTCTAAGGAAATACAAAAGGAATTATCTCCCTTAGTTGTTCACCTTAGTGAGTGAGTGAGTATGGTTTTACGCCGCTTTTAGCAATATTCCAGCAATATCATGGCAGGGGACACCAGAAATGCGCTTCACACATTGTACCCATGTCGGGAATCGAACCCGGGTCTTCGGCGTGACGAGCGAACGCTTTAACCACTAGGCTACCTGACCGCCCCGAGTTCACCTTAGTGCCACCTAAGTTCTGTTAATGCAGTCTAAAGCGTTATCTATCTTTAATACTACCACTGACACTTTGTCAGTATTGACTGTCAGTCAACTCCTACAACAATATTCCCATAGCCTTTTCAAGGAAAGGTTAACACCAGCTATGGTGTCTTACCTATGTAAAGAGAAAGTAGTTCATTGTATAAACACTAATCCCAGTACCTCAGCAATGTGCCCAGGCAAATACCCCTAAATCTGTCACCAGCCAGCAATGGGTTACCACCAAGTAAATTCAGCTGTCTAGGAGCACCGGATTGGGCTGACTTAGTGGTGTCCTGAGTCTAGCCTTCACACCATGGCTGATAACTCAGACATGAAAGCCTTCTGTAGGCTGTTATCTTCAGTGGGGATTTCTCTGCTGTGTTTGTGTTTTTCAGTTGCTTTAAGTATTGCTACTTATGTTCTGGGCTGTCTAGCTCCTGATATCCTTCTATTGTATTTTAATGCCCCCAGATCAGGGCATGCTACTGTGTAGGTAGATGTTGATTTGAGCAGTGTTTGATAAAGGTCCCCTTTTGTGTTCTCATGCACTTCGGTACAGTTCACTGAGTGTGGTCTTGACTTCATGGGGTAGGTTAATGTGTACATGCATACACTGTCTTGGGATAATTGAGTCATAAGGGAATATTTCAACTTTGGTTAAGTATGTTTAGTATGATATGAAGCTTGCATTTTCTGTATTTCTTCTCACTACAATACATCATCAGGCTAGAGGGGGCACGGGTGGCCCAGTCGTCTAAGGCGCCGCGATTCGCTGTGCAGAGTTGCGTCCCTTGGGCACGCCAGAAACCTATGATTGTGGGTTCGAATCCCGGTTCGCCCCGATTATGTTTCTAGGTTTGTCAGCACCATACCCGTGCTCGTGGGTTTCACCAAAGTGGTAAACGTCTGAGACCTGCATCACTTCGGGCTTTCCTCCCACATTAAGCTGACACGCTGTGGTATAACTGGAATACTGTTAAAAGCGGCGTAAAACCCAACTCACTCACTCACTCATCAGGCTAGACCTGTCATGCAATGTGTGATATGTGATATGAAAAGATTCAGGACATATGATATGGAAACTCAGGACATGTGATATGAAAAGATTCAGAATATGTGATATGAAAAGATTTAGGACATGTGATATGAAAATTTTCAGGACATGTGATATGAAAAGATTCAGAATATTTGATATGAAAAGATTCAGGACATGTGATGTGAAAAGATTCAGGACATATGATATGGAAACTCAGGACATGTGATCTGAAAAGATTCAGGATATGTGATATGAAAAGATTCAGAATATGTGATATGAAAAGATTCAGGACATGTGATATGAAAAGATTCAGAATATGTGATATGAAAAGATTTAGGACATGTGATATGAAAAGATTCAGAATATGTGATATGAAAAGATTCAGGACATGTGATATGAAAAGATTCAGAATATGTGATATGAAAAGATTCAGGACATGTGATATGAAAAGATTCAGGATATGTGATATGAAAATATTCAGGACATGTGATAAGAAAAGATTCAGGATATGTGATTTGAAAAGATTCAGGATATGTGATAAGAAAAGATTCAGGATATGTGATCTGAAAAGATTCAGGACATGTGATAAGAAAAGATTCAGAATATGTGATATGAAAAGATTCAGGATGTGATATGAAAAGATTCAGGACATGTAATTAGAAAAGATTCAGGACATGTGATAAGAAAAGATTAAGGACATGTGATATGAAAAGATTCAGGACATGTGGTATAAATAGATTCAGGACATGTGGTATGAAAAGATTCAGGACATGTAATAAGTAAAAATTCTGGACATGTGATAAGAAAAGATTCAAGATGTGATATGAAAATATTCAGGACATACGATATGAAATGATTCAGGATATGAAATATGCCAAGTTACGAAACATACAATAAGCAAAGATTCCTATGTGATAGGACACACATTTAGCACATTCGCACCTATGAAATATAAACTTCGTCAGACACTACTAAATATTATGATATATCATATTCACATAACCCTAATCCAAACAAAATGCATGGCCACCGAAACACCAAGGTGGCACACGATCTATCTAGCAAAGACCACTCTCTCCTTCCTTGCGTTAAGACGTCCATTGTGTATGACAACAACTTTAGACGATAAAGTATTTATTTTGAATGACAAGATTTCTGATTGATATGGAGTACATATGAAACATACAAACTCAGTAGTATTAAATTAAACAAATACATCTATATACACAACTAGCATTTAATAAAATATGTGAAAGTCGAACTGTGGAGACTGATTGGCAAGAGTGAACTGACACTGTACTTGAAGCCATAGTAAACTGATAAATAAACTGATACTGTACTTGAAGCCATAGTAAACTGATAACGTCAATATCTGAAAATAGTGTCGAATCAATACTGACAAACATGCATATTTAAAAATGATATCTGAAGATCAAATTAATAATTTTTTAGTGCAACTGATGAAAACATTTTTTAGAAAGACCCATTTTTTGGCTACAACATCAATTCCGGATACTTTAAAGTTTGACAATACTGTTCTTTCTTTGCCTTTGATCTACTACTATCATACGGAATATACATCATATATTTATCTAAGTTACATTTTATGTGTTTTGGACGGACGGCCTAATAAATAGCAACATTCATATAATAACGAATTATATATCGCACTATATCTACAGTTTGAGACAGTTTGGCCACCCATTATGAAAAAAAAGTAAAAATCATAAATACTAGCTACCACAAAATGCATAAATACTAACACAATGTCCTAAGCTACAACTTGCTGGCAACACGGTATCGTGGATCATATTACTTACAGTTTATCGCTGGGTAATGTACCAAGCACTTAGACTCTATTTTGACAGGTAATTGTAATATATTTACACACGTTAAATAGAAACACTTGTAGGGTTCCCGATCTCTAAGCACGCACTGTTGCGTGCAGGCTGCGTCATTCGGGTCCGAGTTGAATGTACCTGGGAAAGATGTTCCGTTTGAAACTCACACAGACACGACTGTTCGCTTGAAATTCATATCACTGTTCCTGCATCAGAATCGACCCTCTTTACTTTGAGTAACTACACTAGTGGCGCCGGCCTTTCGTTATCACAGACGTTACGTTATCACAGCGATCCATCAGTGCTGAAAGCAATGTCCTCGAGCACGATCACACTCATCCCTGAACTAAGCTTCATCAATACCCGTTATAAAGTCGGTCTGTCTTGACCTCGCCAATAAGATGGACGTTAGCCTTCCAGAACTCATGATACTGCGACAGCTTCCCACAGTCTATCATCTTATCAATATCGCCTTCTCGAATGGCTTGCTCCATCTCATCCGAGGGGCTGTACGACCATAGGCGCAGAACTGGGCGATCCTCGTTCAGATGGCAGATCAGAAGGGACAACCGAACCTTGTCAGGTCCTTCCAGCCCGTTCTGGATCGTCATAGCCTTGCACATGCACAGCTCGGCGAGGTCAATAGGTCGCGGAGTCTCCTGGCCCGTGACCTTCACATTGACGACGTACAGATGGCCATCGCGTCGACACAGAGCATCAATTTGACCATTTAGGACCCGGGTAAACGTGGAAACCTTGACGTGGGCCACCAGATTGACCGCTAGTGCATCAAAAGTATCAAACCATGTCTCCACTTTCTTGTCAAACAGCTTACAAAGATGACCGCTGAACGTCGACTCGACGTCCTCGTACGGCTTAAGATGGCGGAACATATCCACAGCGCCCTTCTTCCTCATCATGGCGAGCACTGCGGCGTGGAACTGTCGACCCTGTTCTTCTCTAGGCGTGCTGTAGAGAAACTGTTTGTATTTCTCTCGCGTTTTCTCATGTCGGTTGAGATCTAAACGACACGCTTCCTTCCGTGTGAGGAAGAACTCCCATTTGTTCCTTCGCTCGTTGTTGTACGTACTGTAAACTAAACTTTCACCTAAACTTTCCACAGCTATGAAGATCTTCATGGTCGCTAAGTCATAATTGCGAGAGAGCTTCTCCAGCCTTTTTATCAACTCGTCCTCGTGGAGTCCCTTTGAAGACATAAGCGCCATATTTGCCTCTTTTGTCAATGTCTGGCTTTAACCCCCAAGGTGTATCACAGCCGTCAAACCCACCCGTACATACAAACCATATCGCTAGAACTTGCTCCACACACGTGAAGCGGCAGTATCCATGAAAGTTTACCTGTATCACATGAAACGGTCACAATAAGCCAGTGGCCGCTATCACCCTGATCACGAAATGTTTCTCAGTAGTGTCACACACAAACAAACAGCTCTGTCAATACCCGCACTACACCACGATCGCAGCGTATCCCAGGCTTGAAATAGCGCAGCCGTCAATTATCCGGTTAAAATATCAAGTCCCGAATAATCTGCCTCCGAATTTCTTCATGTGTTCTAGCTGTACGTTTATAAGAGAGCTAATTATTGACACAATGGTGTCGGTAGGGGGCCCCGAGCGGTGTATACACGAGGAATAACATGGTCAGCCAGGAGACACTGAAAGACATATATTAATCCAACACAAACGCTTTCAATGCACAGCGCGAGACGTGCTTTAACATGTATTATCAAAATGCTGTATATATACTATCACTGTGCTAAATCGTACGCTTGGGGTGAGACAAGGATCTCTTCGAAGTCCCGCGTTATTTTGCATTTTTGATTATTTTTTTAAGCAGAGGCTTATACCACCCAAAAGAACTCAAGGACCACTCGATTGTTTCATATTACTATTATTAATCTGTCATGATATGACAGTATGGTAGTATATGGTAGTATATATATAGTCTCTGATATGCCGATTTCTTTTACAATATGAAATGAACAATGACAATTTCTTTTACAATGAATGCAATCGTTATATTATTAAACAAAATTTATTAAGTGTATTTGATATTTTAGTCTAATATATGAGAAGAAATACAAGAGTTTACGTCTATTAATTATTCAATGCATATTGCATTATATAACATATTAAACGTGGAATCATATCATATTATAATGGAAATTAATATAGAAATAACAATAACGTTCACCTGATGAAAAGTAGCGCTGAAACGTCGTACAAAGAATAAAAGACGTTGCTATCCATAAAAAAGTGTCATGTAGACAATATCATTGGTTTTGAAATAGGTGAGTGAGTGCGTAAGGATTTACGCCGCATTTAGCAATATTCCAGCAATATCACGGCGGGAGAACACCACAAACGTGCTTCACACATTGTACTCATGTGGGGAATCGAACCCAGGCCTTAGGCGTGACATGGAAACGCTTTAACCACTAGGCTACCCCACCGCCCCTGAAATAGGTAAGTGACCGATTGAGGATTTTAATCATACATGATTGAAGTTGTTAAGATATCTTATTCTAAATTCCGTTTACTCAGGATAAGGTCGCTGAGACGAGTACTGATAAAGATGTGGTCAGGCTTGGTGACTTGGTTGACTGGTGTCTTCGTATCCCATTGGCGGGGATCGATGCTCATGATGTCAGTCACCAGTTTGTCTGATCCAGACTTGATCATCTACAGTCCGATGTCATAGGGCTGGAATATTACTGTTCTGATTAGGGGGCACGGGTGGCCCAGTCGACTAAGGCGCCGCGATTCGCTGTGCAGAGTTGCGTCCCTTGGGCACGCCAGAAACCTATGATTGTGGGTTCGAATCCTGGTTCGCCCCGATTATGTTTCTAGGTTTGTCAGCACCATACCCGTGTTCGTGGGTTTCACCGAAGTGGTAAACGTCTGAGACTTGCATCACTTCGGGCTTTCCTCTCACATTAAGCTGACACGCCGTGATATAACTGGAATACTGTTAAAAGCGGCGTAAAACCCAACTCACTCACTCACTCACTGTTCTGATTGTGGCGTATTTACATAATTAGAATGAATTAATCAGCACCACACTGATTATCATATACAACAATATATGTCTTAACATTTGTGTTTTTGTTGTTGTTTACTTTCTAGCAACAACAAATATGGAAGCTGATTTCGCATATACCACAAGGAAACTAGGCATTCCGAGTTCGAATTGGCCCGGGGACATGTTCTAACACGGGTACCCATGGTTCAGTCCAATTCCCAGATAGACTGGTTACACGGTTTGCGCAACAAGAGTGCGCATTTGGCCTACTTATAGACAGGAGCCCAGTCTTGTACACAGAGGGCATCAGTGCACCACTGTCCCAAGCCACTAACTTTAATCCCTTATTCCGGGTTTTGTACACAGACAGCGCAGATCGTATCTATAGTGCCAGGATGAAATATAAGTCAGGCGTTGAGCTGACGTTTACGATGTAGTTGAACAGATATGGAGCCATAAATTGACAATCACCATCCAATACAGGGATATAGTGTCAACTTGAAGTCGGCGCTGAGTGGCTGTGACACTCAACAGTAGGCAGTATATCAAGCGACCCGTAAAGATCCGGGGTAGAACAGGTCTTCAGCAACCCATGCTTGCCGTAAAAGGCGACTATGATTGTCGTAAGAGGCGACTAACGGGATCGGGTGGTCCGGCTCGCTGACTTGGTTGATGCATGTCATCGATCCCAATTGCGTGGATCGATGTTCATGATGTCAATCAGTGGATTGTCTGGTCCAGACTCGATTATTTACAGACCGCTGTCATATACCTGGAATATTGCTGAGTGTGGCGATACAACCCCCCCCCCCCCCCAAAAAAAAAACAACCCCCCAAAAAAAAACAAAAAAAAACAGTATATGAAGCGTGTGCAATCGGAGAAGTCAGAAAGTGAGTTGTGTTACATGTCGCGTTAAACAGTAACCCTACTGCATTCATATCACGGCCTGTCCGCTTGATGTATGAAAGCCCGAAGTCATGCAGGTCTCCTACCGTTTTGTTGAAACCCACGAGCATATAGTGCTGACAGACCAAGGATAATAATTAGTATGATTTTTAAATATTTGAAACCCACTATGAACGGACTCCGATGCAAGGAGCTCATTTGCATAGCGTTTTACAGCGCCTTAGAAAAAAAGGGCCACCTGTGCCCTCTTGATAAAAAGGAAACGTAGCTGTAGTAGTTGTAGTGGCGGTAGTAGTGGTAGTAGTGGTTGTAGTAGTTGTGGCGGTAATAGTGGTAGTAGTGGTTGTAGTAGATGTAGTAGTGGTAATAGTAGAAGTAGTAGTGGTGTTGTTGATGATGTTGGTAGTAGAAGTAGTAGTAGTAGTAGTAGTAGGCCCATATGATTTTTCATAGTCAACAGATACTCGCGGTTACCTCAGCTAAGTGACAGACGAGGTTTGTTTGTTTGTTTGTTGTTTTACGCCACACTCATCAACATTCCGGCTATGTGACTGCGGGTCTGTAAATAAAGGAGTCTGGAACAGAAAATCCAGTGATTGACATCATGAGCATCAATCTACTCAGTTGACATACGATGACATGCAATCGATATACCAGCCAGCCATATCACCCATACGCCAATCGCCTCTTACGACAAGCATGGGTAGGTCCTAAGTACGTCATGCTTGACGTAAGAGACGAGGATTTCAAGCGTGGATCTGGCGGTCATACTCTGTGACATGGCTGATTACGAGTCATCGTATCCTATTGGTGTGGATCGTTGCTCATCCTTTCAGTCACTGGTTTGGTTGATTTGGTTGCCTTGACAACATTCACTCACTCGTCCGCAAATTACGTACATGGAATATGCAGCTGTCAATATCGCACCGTAGGTAAGAATTATAGTAGATGTTTTATTTTAAGATATACGGATTTTAAAGGGGTATTTTGCCCAAGAACTTGGATCCCGTTGTACAAAACAACCTTAGCGCTACGACTGTCGTAAGGCTGTTTTAAGGAATGGGAGTAACATTAACGCTAAGATCGCTTTGACAACGGCACCCTGGGCTCACTTGCACGAAGAGTTCTTAGCGCTAAGGCCATCTTAACTCCCATATTTTAACATAGACTTATAATAGTCTTAGCGCTGAGATTGCTTTATGCATGTCGGCCCAGGGGCGCATTTTCAGGCTAGGTCTTGACGTGTTATATCAGTGACTTGTGTCAAACGGAGACATAATCGCGGTGGAATTAAAGTATTCTACTAATCATTAATTGCTATATCAGTTAACCTCATAAAATTAAATCTAGAATTTAAAGACAACAAAGTATTGAATGACTTGTATTGGCCCGAGCCAATAAATATATCACAATTCAAACAAAGAAACGTTTCGTTAAAGTGCTAAATACATCTGCCATATAAAACAAATATCATTCTAATTATTTAAAAAATATTTTAATGCAACTTATGTCAAATGAGAACACGACCCAAGCGTCGGCATGTATCGTTGTGGGGTATATCTTCTTTCACATGGATATTTAAAAATTTAATATTTAAAATTTCGAATATATAATTAATGGCGCATGACATCGATGAAATATAAACTTATATCTGATTAATCCTAATAGTAATAGTAATCATACCAACCCGTGAAAATCCGGGGTAGAATAGGTCTTCAGCAACCCATGCTTGTCGTAAGAGGCGACTTACGGGATCGAGTGGTCAGGGTCGCTGACTTGGTTGATGCATGTCATCGATCCCAATTGCGTGGATCGATGCTCACGATGTCAATCACTGGATTGTCTTGTCCAGACTCGATTATTTACAGACCGCCGTCATATAGCTGGAATATTGCTGAGGGAGGCGTTAAACAACCAACCAACCAACCAACCAACATCGATGACATATAAACTGATATCTGATTAATCCTAATAGTAATAGCAATCATACCGCGACAAGCAATGAAATTCACACCCGGTGTCCCATACATTCTGCATGTGTAGGTGTGCGGTAGAAAATCACAATCGATACCATCAATCTCGTCTCACTATTGCCGTGATATATACGCTTTTCTTTGATTGATTGACACCACGCTATATATGACATGTGCATCGACACCCGACTGTCTGCACGCGATACCGTCAGTGCGCTGTCACTTGGGTGTATGTGTGTCACGTGACTACCGTTGGTATCAACAGTGCTTTGTTGATTTATAGGGTTGAAAAGGACACAGCAGAAGGAAAGACGTATACATGTATATAGAATACGCACAAAGGGATTGTGGCCGCGGGTAGGGGTTTGCGTTCGTGCGTTGTCCCCCGGAGCAGGTTAAATGTCAGACTGGTGTGGGGAATGCTTGAGGAGTTGAGGTTGGGTTTTGGGTTTTGGGTTGTGGTTTGTGGTTTGTGGTTTGTGTTTTGTGGTTTTGGGTCTGATAGTATGGAGGTAGTGGTAGACTATTTTCTTAGTCCCAGATATAAAATGTTTTTTAAAGAACATATGTGTCTATACAATAGAAAATAAAAGACCCGTGAAGATCCGGGGTAGAATAGGTCTTCAGCAACCCATGCTTGCCGTGAAAGGAGACTATGCTTGTCCTAAGAGGCGACTAACGGGATCGGGTGGCGGGGCTCACTGATTTGGTTGATGCATGTCATCGAATCTCGATGCTCGTGATGTCAACCACTGGACTGTCTGGTCCATACTCGATTATTTACACACCGCCGTCATGT